TTTTACGAAACTCGAACTACCATATAATACAGCTGCCATAGAAACGATCAAGAAATTAATCAAGTAAAAATTATAGCTTTTCCAGTTTTCAACAGATTTTCATCAAATTTGAGATATAGCCTTTTCATATTATTCTACAGTTTTGTGTTAAATTTTACGAAACTCGAACTACCATATAATACAGCTGCCATAGAAACGATCAAGATATTAATACAATTAAAAATTATAACTTTTCCAGTTTTCAACAGATTTTTATCAAATTTGAAATATAGCTAATTTATATAATTCTACAATTTGTGTAAAATTCTATTTAAATCGGACTACTATATCATATAGCTCCCATAGGACCGATCGAGAAATTAATACAATTGAAAATTATAACTTTTCCAGTTTTCAACAGATTATTTTAAATTTGAGATATAGCGGTTTTATATTATTCTACAATTTTTTGTAAAATTTTATGAAAATCGGACTTCTATATCATATAGCTTCCATAGGAAGGATCGAGAAATTAATACAATTAAAAATTATAACGTTTCCAGTTTTCAACAGATTTTCATCAAATTTGAGATATAGCCTATTCATATTATTCTAAAATTTTGTGTTAAATTTTACGAAACTCGAACTACCATATAATACAGCTGCCATAGAAACGATCAAGAAATTAATACAATTAAAAATTATTACTTTTCCAGTTTTCAACAGATTTTATCAAGTTTGAGTTATAGCAGTACTATATCCTATTGCTCCCATAGGAACGAGCGAGAAATTAATACAATTAAAAATTATAACTTTTTCAGTTTTCAACAGAATTTGATGAAATTTGAGTTATTATAGTTTTATGTTTCTTTACAAATTTGTAAAGAAATTTATATTATTCTACAATTTGTGTAAAATTCTATGATAATCGGACTACTATATCATATAGCTCCCATAGGACCGATCGAGAAAGTAACACAATTGAAAATTATAACTTTTCCAGTTTTCAACAGATTGTTTTAAATTTGAGATATAGCGGTTTTATATTATTCTACAATTTTTTGTAAAATTTTATGAAAATCGGACTTCTATATCATATAGCTTCCATAGGAAGGATCGAGAAATTAATACAATTAAAAATTACAACTTTTCCAGTTTTCAACAGATTTTCATCAAATTTGAGATATAGCCTATTCATATTATTCTACAATTTTGTGTTAAATTTTACGAAACTCGAACTACCATATAATACAGCTGCCATAGAAACGATCAAGAAATTAATACAATTAAAAATTATTACTTTTCCAGTTTTCAACAGATTTTTATCAAGTTTGAGTTATAGCAGTACTATATCCTATTGCTCTCATAGGAACGAGCGAGAAATTAATACAATTAAAAATTATAACTTTTCAGTTTTCAACAGAATTTGATGAAATTTGAGTTATTACAGTTTTATGTTTCTTTACAAATTTGTAAAGAAATTTATATTATTCTACAATTTGTGTAAAATTCTATGATAATCGGACTACTATATCATATCGCTCCCATAGGACCGATCGAGAAAGTAACACAATTGAAAATTATAACTTTTCCAGTTTTCAACAGATTGTTTTAAATTTGAGATATAGCGGTTTTATATTATTCTACAATTTTTTGTACAATTTTATGAAAATCGGACTTCTATATCGTATTGCTCCCATAGGAACGAGCGAGAAATTAATATAATTAAAAATTATAACTTTTCAGTTTTAACAGAATTTGATGAAATTTGAATTATCACAGTTTTATGTTTCTTTACAAATTTGTGTACAATTTTACGAAACTCGAACTACCATATAATACAGCTGCCATAGAAACGATCAAGAAATTAATCCAAGTAAAAATTATAGCTTTTCCAGTTTTCAACAGATTTTCATCAAATTTGAGATATAGCCTTTTCATATTATTCTACAGTTTTGTGTTAAATTTTACGAAACTCGAACTACCATATAATACAGCTGCCATAGAAACGATCAAGATATTAATACAATTAAAAATTATAACTTTTCCAGTTTTCAACAGATTTTTATCAAATTTGAAATATAGCTAATTTATATAATTCTACAATTTGTGTAAAATTCTATTTAAATCGGACTACTATATCATATAGCTCCCATAGGACCGATCGAGAAATTAATACAATTGAAAATTATAACTTTTCCAGTTTTCAACAGATTATTTTAAATTTGAGATATAGCGGTTTTATATTATTCTACATTTTTTTGTAAAATTTTATGAAAATCGGACTTCTATATCATATAGCTTCCATAGGAAGGATCGAGAAATTAATACAATTAAAAATTATAACGTTTCCAGTTTTCAACAGATTTTCATCAAATTTGAGATATAGCCTATTCATATTATTCTAAATTTTGTGTTAAATTTTACGAAACTCGAACTACCATATAATACAGCTGCCATAGAAACGATCAAGAAATTAATACAATTAAAAATTATTACTTTCCAGTTTTCAACAGATTTTTATCAAGTTTGAGTTATAGCAGTACTATATCCTATTGCTCCCATAGGAACGAGCGAGAAATTAATACAATTAAAAATTATAACTTTTCAGTTTTCAACAGAATTTGATGAAATTTGAGTTATTATAGTTTTATGTTTCTTTACAAATTTGTAAAGAAATTATATTATTCTACAATTTGTGTAAAATTCTATGATAATCGGACTACTATATCATATAGCTCCCATAGGACCGATCGAGAAAGTAACACAATTGAAAATTATAACTTTTCCAGTTTTCAACAGATTGTTTTAAATTTGAGATATAGCGGTTTTATATTATTCTACAATTTTTTGTAAAATTTTATGAAAATCGGACTTCTATATCATATAGCTTCCATAGGAAGGATCGAGAAATTAATACAATTAAAAATTACAACTTTTCCAGTTTTCAACAGATTTTCATCAAATTTGAGATATAGCCTATTCATATTATTCTACAATTTTGTGTTAAATTTTACGAAACTCGAACTACCATATAATACAGCTGCCATAGAAACGATCAAGAAATTAATACAATTAAAAATTATTACTTTTCCAGTTTTCAACAGATTTTTATCAAGTTTGAGTTATAGCAGTACTATATCCTATTGCTCTCATAGGAACGAGCGAGAAATTAATACAATTAAAAATTATAACTTTTTCAGTTTTCAACAGAATTTGATGAAATTTGAGTTATTACAGTTTTATGTTTCTTTACAAATTTGTAAAGAAATTTATATTATTCTACAATTTGTGTAAAATTCTATGATAATCGGACTACTATATCATATAGCTCCCATAGGACCGATCGAGAAAGTAACACAATTGAAAATTATAACTTTTCCAGTTTTCAACAGATTGTTTTAAATTTGAGATATAGCGGTTTATATTATTCTACAATTTTTTGTAAAATTTTATAAAAATCGGACTTCTATATCATATAGCTTCCATAGGAAGGATCGAGAAATTAATACAATTAAAAATTACAACTTTTCCAGTTTTCAACAGATTTTCATCAAATTTGAGATATAGCCTATTCATATTATTCTACAATTTTGTGTTAAATTTTACGAAACTCGAACTACCATATAATACAGCTGCCATAGAAACGATCAAGAAATTAATACAATTAAAAATTATTACTTTTCCAGTTTTCAACAGATTTTTATCAAATTTGAGTTATAGCAGTACTATATCCTATTGCTCCCATAGGAACGAGCGAGAAATTAATACAATTAAAAATTATAACTTTTTCAGTTTTCAACAGAATTTGATGAAATTTGAGTTATTATAGTTTTATGTTTCTTTACAAATTTGTGTAAACTTTTACGAAAGTCGAACTACCATTTAATACAGTTGCCATAGAAACGATCAAGAAATTAATACAATTAAAAATTATTACTTTTCTAGTTTTCAACAGATTTTTATCAAATTTGAGATATAGCTAATTTATATTATTCTACAATTTGTGTAAAATTCTATTTAAATCGGACTACTATATCATATCGCTCCCATAGGACCGATCGAGAAAGTAACACAATTGAAAATTATAACTTTTCCAGTTTTCAACAGATTGTTTTAAATTTGAGATATAGCGGTTTTATATTATTCTACAATTTTTTGTAAAATTTTATGAAAATCGGACTTCTATATCGTATTGCTCCCATAGGAACGAGCGAGAAATTAATATAATTAAAAATTATAACTTTTCCAGTTTTCAACAGATTTTCATCAAATTTGAGATTAGTCTTAAACTTTGTGTCAACTTTGTGTCATACAAACGATCTTTAGATGTAGAGGAAAAAAGCAAAACTGTGAATGTAAAACTGTTAATATAATATGTATAGGTGAATGAAATGAAAGCAGGTATTACTTCATTGTTTTTAAACATAAATATATATAATTTATATTGTATGAATTCCCAGTAATTGAAGCTCTATATGCAAGGTAATGTAAACTTCGGCGTGCCAAAGTTAGCTTCCTTTCTTGTTTTTTAACCTCAATATATATAATTTATATTGTCTGGATTTCAAATCATCGAATTTCTATTTGTAAGGGTATATAAACTTCGGCGTGCCGAAGTTAGCTTCCTTTCTTGTTTTTTTTTTTTTTATTTTATTAAAAATATTTTCTCTACAAGTCGAATGATTAATACCAGGGACAGTTCTTCTTATTATATTTTGTTAATTATTTCAAGCTTGTATAAAATTACTAAAGATTTTTCCTAGAACGTCCTTTATTTAAGATATTACGACCAATATTACCTGTTTTATTATCACATGATACTGTAGTCGTATACAAACTTTAGCTTAAAGAAGTTTTAGTTCAATATTTTTTGTATTAGATTAATAGAAATATGTTCCTACACTTCAACAATAACAGGAAATGCGGCATCCCGTAGCTCTTCTCTCCAGCTGGGAGGAAGGAGTAATTTAACTTGTGCTCGTCCTCCATGCGGCAATGAAATCTCAAAGATCGCTGTGTTGGTAATGCTAGCTTTTGAAGTTTTTCTTTATAAAATGGCCGTGTATCATATAAAATTTTCACTAAGCTATGTGTTTTATGCAAATGCACTCCCGATACTGGTAGTCCTGGACCTTGACACTCCAAAATGTAGAACTGAATTCCATAAGTTGTTGCAACATATAACGATGGTGTTATAAAGGCGTCAAAATGCGAACAGTTAATATAGTAGTAGCGACTACTCCAAAGGTCTTCGCCTAAGTCACATGTTATGCATTGTGGTTCAGTTCTGTTAATATAAAATATAAATAAAAATATAAAAAAAGACCTGCTCGAATTAAGATTTCCTTACCTTCTGACATCATCGTGTACTGGATCTTTAACAGAATATAAATGTTTTTGGCCTGGTTTTTTCTCTTGTGTAGCCAAATAGTAAACTTTATGATTGATGGTATCCCAACACAATATTTTAATCACCTGCAACAATTCGAAAAGATAGTGATATTATTATAAAAATTAACATGGGGCACATCGGAATTACAAGACTTTAAATAACTGGTCGCATTAGACATCTTCAACCAAAAACTCTGACCCCATCACTGAAAATTGCATAATAGTTGATTGAAATTCACAGTACGTATTGTAAGTGTGGGATTCGAAAATGGGGTTTGAAACGCTGCTAAATGTTGTTGCATAGGGCCATTCGAGCTTTCAATTTGTAATTTTTTAAACTCTTGATAGACCGTCGAGAGAATCTAAGTTCTCCCGCTCTTGGCTTGTCGGTATTTCCAATCGCAGCCAAATTTCCCGTCATGTGAAAATTTTTATCGCGATCAGATTCGGGCCTTGTGGTAAAACGTGGAAAACAGTTATGAAAGCTGTTCCGAACGTCATTCCATGACCGCTGATAGTACGGCCACTTCGAAGGTGCTTGAGTCAAAGTACTATGATTGCTACTCCGTGTATTTATGATGTGTTGCCCAACTTCAAGAAGGAATATAGTGAGGAGCGCTCCCCAGTCCGATCTGGCTTTCCACAATTTTCAAATACCTCCTTCGATTGGTTATCGTCTGCCACCGGTGGACACCGAAGTTTTCGGTGGTGATTATCCTCGGTGCCCCACATTCAGAGACCTTTTTACTGCAATATATATTCACAACTTACGTCTCACCCCGAAGAACAAATTTATATTTATTTATATTTTACGGCAATTACTTTCACCTTTCATTTACCGAGTCAAAGGTACAGTTTTACGTTCACAGATGAAAATTGAGTCAATTTTCTGAACGCTCCCTTGGCACCTATTTAAAATAGAAGTCCGATTTTTATAAAGTTGAAACCAAAATGTAGAAATAATACAAAACGGCTATATCTTAGCAGAAAACTAAACAAATAATTTTCTTTCAATATATATAATCGTTCCTAAGGCTCCTCTATGTTAAAATCGGCCGATCCGGCCCGTTCCTACTATATACTAGAATATTAGAAATTATATTACCCTGCAGGAGTATAAAACCATACCATTTCCGTTTATATATTTGCATATATTTGTAAAGAACGGATCGATCGCCGGATTCTTAGAAATAAATTTTACCTTTTTTAATTTTTAAAAGATTTTTATCAAATTTAAGATTTAGCCATTTTATATTATGTTAATTTGTATACCCTTGCAGGGTATTATAATTTCAGTCAGAAGTTTGCAACGCACTGAAGGAGGCACCTCCGACTATATAAAGTATACATATTCTTGATCAGGATCAACAGCCGAGTCGATCTAGCCATGTCCGTCTGTCCGTCAGTCCGTCTGCCCTTCTTTCCGTTTCTACGCAAACTAGCCTAAACGCAAACTATAAACTTTGTAGTTTGTCTTCTATATACTCTCACTCGTATATATGTCGGAACGGGCCGGATCAGAAGACTATATTATATAGCTGCCATAGGAATGATCGGTAAATTAAAAAAAAAAATTGGAACATTTTCAGTTCTCAGCAGATTTTCATCAAACTTGAGATATAGCCATTTTATTAAAGTCTTAAGTTTTGTGTCAAATCGATTATATCACATAGGCGCCATACAAACGAGCGTTAGATGTAGAGGAAAAAAGCAAATCTATGAATGTAAAACTGTTAATATAATATGTATAGGTGAATGAAATGAAAGCAGGTTTTCCTTCATTGTTTTTAAATATAAATATATATAATTTATATTGTATGGATTCCAAGTCATCAAAGTTGTATATCCAAGGGTATATAAACTTCGGCGTGCCGAAGTTAGCTTCCTCTCTGTTTTTTTTTTTTAATTTTATAAAAATTTGACAACTATATTATATCATATAGATGCCATAGGAATGATCGAGAAATTAATTATTATAACTTTTTCACTTTTTAACAGGTTTTTGTTATTTGTGTTATTCTAGAATTTTAGCTTTAATTTTTTTGATATTCGGACGACTATATATTTTTTACGCGCCCTTAACGTCTCCGTAAATAAGTTTGGCAATCATCTTTCCAAGTGAACGGACGTGTTTTTTTTTTCTTGCGCTCTCGTTTTGTGTTAGTTTGAAAATAACCACCGGGGCTAACTTAAATTTTCTATTTTGTGTTAATATGTTAAATTCCCGTTCAGTTCGCGTGTGCATGTAGCTATTCTGATTTATGTTTATAATTATTTTTATTTCTCAATTTAGTTTTGCTGCTAGTGCTAGCTTTAGCATATTTTGCGTTATTTATCTCCCACGGTCTCCCACTCTCGCTTTCGCTGTGCCGCTGCACTTCTTATCTTATCTGATCTCCCACGCTCTCCCGCTCTCTCGCTCTCGCTATGACTCTTCACTGCTTATCTTCATAGCTCTGTTGTTTTTTTCCTCTTTTTTTTAAGTACAAGTACAGTGGTAACAGTGGTCCTTATAATGTCCATAAATATTGTGTGTTTCGCCACCTGCAAAAATGCTATTTTTGCCGGTGACCTTACAATCGGCTGCTGACTTTGCGACAACGTCATGCAAGTAGTATTGGTGTTGCAGCTCGGACGGTGGACGATGTAAAAACATAACATCGGCCTGTGTTACTGCTGTGAGGCCTGTCGCGACGTAGAAAGGGAAATGATGTCTTTCATGCGGCAAACCAAAAACGGTTTTAAGGGCATTTTAAAGAGTTTTCGTAAAAATCTTAATATGTTCTTGGTGCTGGATACTCAATAGCCTTACGCTATTAAAGAGTCTCCTAGGCGCAAAAAAAAACTGCTATTGGAGGGCAGCCTGCAGACGGACCCCAACTACATGCAACGGACTCTGAGCAGCAGCCTCCCTCGGCACAGCCCTCGACCCCAGCATTAATTCCAAGGGTGCTGAGATCGAGCGCTAGAAAAAAATCGGTACCCGAAAGTGCAGTGGGAGTGACCGTACTGCCGGTGATTTCTGTTTTGTCCCCTGGGGGGTCTCAATATTGACCCTCAAAGTCAAGTGTATAATGATATATCTGCCCAGTGTGTTAGGCCCGGAATACCGGCCGACAATGTCACGGCACATAACCAATCTGCCTTGCCAAAAGCCCTTATAACGGTTCCACCGACGAGACATATTTTTGTTTCGCGGCTCTCCCCTGATCAAACATCGGAAGACGTTCTCACCTTTATACAAGGCAACACCAGAGCCGATAAAATAAAGATAAAGGTCGAAAAGTTTAAATTTTTTTACGCTAGGAATATTTAATCCTTCATAATAAATGTCGCTAACAAGCTCTTTAACACTATTTGCTCTCCCAACTTCTGGCCAGAGTACATCGATATTAAGGAGTTCGAAGCGACAAAAAAAAAATAGGCATGTAAGAATAACTCTTCTTCATATCACTGCGCCTTCTACGTCTTCCAATTCCGACCCTAAAAACTAACCTACTCCTCAGGTATTTACTATCAGAATGTAAGAGGCTTACGTAGTAAGCTTCCTAACTTGTATTCTGATAGCCTTTCGTTTGCATCTGAGGTTATTGTGCTCACAGAAACCTGGTTAAAGTCGGAGATTCTGAGCTCCGAAGTTTATCCAGCTGTGTTCACAGTATAACGGCTAGATCGCCCTATCAGACGCGGCGGTGGAGTTCTTATAGCGGTGAATTCCTTAGCTTCGAGGAATGCAACGATGTTGAATTCCTCTGTGTGAAGCTATCTATCAAAGGTAGCTCCATTTGTATTACCTGTTCCTACATACCTTCATTTTCGGAACTTCCTATTTATTGGAAACACCTTTCCGCTATTCAGATGGTTTCCAGTAGACTTTTGGATATAGATCAGTTGGTAGTCCTACATGATTTGAATATGCCTGGTGCTATTTGGTGCTTAAATAATTCCACCAATACTCTCCATACTCCTACACAACATGACTTTATCGGAGGCTTGTTCGCCGTCTCAAGTCAACCATGTGCAAATTCCATACAGCGCTTGCTCGATCTTTGCTACGACTCTGATCCTGAGAGAGTCACTATAGCAAGGGTGGCGCCTCTGACACAGTCCGAAGATCCTTATCATTCACTTTCGATGTGACTCTTTGTATTGGGTCTGACGTGTAGAATATGTTTTCTATGTTTCGCAAGACGGACAGATGTAATCTATACTGATTTCAGTAAAGCATTTGACTCTGTTAACCATTCTCTCCTCGTTAGAAAACCCGATTCAATGGGTTTTCCAAGTGATCTTCTTAATTGGATCTCAAGTTATCTGAATGCCAGGACGCAAAAGGTCCTCTTTAAGAATAATTTATCCAATGTTCTAAGGGTTACATCTGGCGTCCGCAAGGAAGCCATTTCGGACCCTTATTGTTTAGATTATTTATAAATGACCTGCCCAAAGTTTGACTAACTCCAAAGTGCTTATGTACGCGAATGACGTCAAGCATTGCGTGCAATACAATGACGTCGCCTGCCAGTCGGATTTACAAATGCAAGCTAATAACATTCTCTCGTGTCGTTCCTAAGCTTGCTACTTACACGCTGAACTGCTTCTCTTTGAAAAGAATTAATTCTGTTGATGATTTGGGCGTCCGCTTGGACCCAAAACTTGACTTTATTGATTATATTTAGTCTATGGTGAATAGAGCCAGGAGTGTGCTTGGATTTATTAAACAGTGGTCGAAGGAATTCAATGACCCCTATGTTACTAAAACCTTACATACTTCCTTAGTTCGTCCTATCTTTGAATATGGATGCTGCGTTTGAAGCCCTCAGTATGGCGTCCAAAGCAAACGCATTGAGTCGGTTCAAAAGAATTTTTACTTTTCGCTCTACGCGGTTTAAATTGGAGGCAAGCCAAAGATTTCCTTCCTACTCTAGTAGACTCCTATTAATAACTTGCCGTCCTTAGCCAATCGTAGAACTATGCTAGAAATAACCTTTATTTTGAACCTTATCCATTGTGTTGTGGAAAGTGCTGACTTGTTCAGTTAGCTTAATTTCAACGTACCATGTAGAACTACTAGATTCTAT